TTTTAATCCAGCCATCTTAGCCAACATATGATATTTTAGTAAAATTGCCAAAACGATTCTTTGGATAAGACAAATTGTTACAAGATTGACAAGGCAAAATTAAAGCGAAATATTTTTGTTTTCATATTTACATTAAATCCAAAATTTTAAAAAAAGTGAGACGCTTTTCCGTTAAAAAGACAAAAAAAAAAATACAAAAAAGACAAAACCAAAGAACAAAAAACAAAAAAACAAAAAAAAAACTCTTATTATAAAGGAAGTTAACATTAACCAGAAAAGAGGCTTACGCAAAAGCTTTCTCTTTCGAAATTATGGATTTATTGTAACTATGAAAACAAAAACATTTCGCTTCAATTTTGATTGATAAAATCGGAAGACGAAACGCGTCGGCAAAGACAAAGATTTTTTCCTATTGTCATTCTAATGCCATATGATCTTTTGTAAATGGATGCATAATCAGGGTGACGCAATTTTATTTCATATTAGTGTACACATAACCATTGTTAAACAGATATCACTTCTGTGTCGATATTTTGAGCTCTGTTATACAAACAAACAGCTGATATATATATATATATATATATATATATATATATATATATATATATATATATTGTGTGTGTGTGTTTACTTAACTGCAAATATTTCTAGTTTAGTTTTCGTCCAATTTATATATTGGTCATTGGCTGTTGCCTGAAAATGACCACCAATGTCTCACAATAAGAAAACGTCCTACCAAGAGAAACCAAGACAACAAGAGGAGTTTTAATGTACGATATTTGTTAATAGTAACTAGACACAATTCGATCGGCTGGAGACGGAGAAAGATAGTAAACGGTGAAATATTCACCGTTGATGACCAGAAGCGATTTTATTGCATTTGGTGGGCACTAGTGATAGGTTTGGTGGGAGGCGGAGTCGCGATGAGACATGTGTAGACAATGCCAAGGATAGAAAATAGTCTACGCCATTTTTGAAGCCTGCTCGAGTCACGTGTCCCGCAACTCATTTGGTTTGTAGACGCAGCACATTTAGTGCATCCATAGTAGCAGTGGTGTGTCTACGATAACCTCTGACGGGGCCTATTTCCTGGCTAATTTTGAATTCAGAGGTTTCCTTTTCCTAGTTACCTAGTGGTTACCGCCTAAAGTCATGTGTTTAAAGCATTAGATTTATCAGCGATGTTTTTATGTTGTAAAATGGATGTTTGCTTGGCGCAGCACGAACAGTCAGAAAAGCACTGGATACCTAGGTTTACGGCATGTAACTTGATATCCAATAAACGAAAAACCAGATAATAACATTCAATAATCTGCAAAAAAAAACAAAAAACAAAAAAAACCAAAAAAAAACCCCAAAACAAACAACCAAAACAACAATAATACTAATAATAATCCGTCCTGGGTATGACGATGAACTACATCCGCGTCCAGGGTAAGACAATAAACTACGTCCAACAGCAAGGCCTCTGATCAGGAGGTTTTGAGGAACGTGGAACCACCTCCTAATTGCTGGTATTCTCAGGTCAACCCTGACCCGGGGTGGTAGGGTCACAACTATGGGTAAATAGTTAACCCACAAATTGAGGTAAAAAGCATTATAAAATATTACCAGTAATACGTTTTTGAGGAAAAAAATAATTACCAGCAATAAGTTTCTGGAAAAAAAATCTATTGCCGGCAATACGTTTTTGAAAAAATAATGTTACCAGTTATAAATTTTTGAGAAAAAAATGTTAACAGAAATAGATTTTTGACAAAACAAAAATATTACCAGGAAAAAAAAAGTTGTCGGCATTAAATGACCCATTGAGGTTGATATGCTGTAAAACAAACCAAACCAGACCAAACTAATACTACTACTAATAATAAAAATAATATATGCAGACCCCGTATCCATCAGTGGTTATGTATTGCGGGTTTAAATGCTGAAACGGAAAGTTTTATTCTTGCTGTACAGGACCAATATATGTTAATTAGAAATTACCAAGCACATATACGGTAAAATTGTGTTAACCTGAAATTCAGATACTCTGATAAATATCCAGAAACGATCGGCCATTTCGTATCAGGTTGCACGGTGTTAGCACCCACTGAATATAAAACTTGGTATGATAGAGTGGGTCAATATCTGACCTGGAAAATCTGCAACTTTAAACCGGAAGCTAAGCGCTAGAGACTGGTACGAGCGTCACCTGATTACAGAGATAGGACCTGTAACAAGTTTATGGGCCTTTACAATATACAAAAAAATCAAAACCAATCGCGTAGATATCGGGATTAAAGACCACAAGAACAGAATGTGCTTTCTTAATGACATGGAAATTCCTGCAGATTATAATGTCTCTTTGAAGTTCTTTAAAAAAAAACAAAAAAAAAAAACAAAAAAAAACTATCAAAATACAAGGATCTTGAAGTGGAAAAATCGAAAAAGGTTCCGATAGATTTCTGGTAGCCCATGCCTTAAAGAAATACTAAAAAATGTATAACTCCCGCATTAGGAAGAACTTTATCTATGTAAAATGCGTGGTTTTAGATTGTTGTTTTTTTACAAAAATGATCAGTGGAAAATTTAATGAAGCCATTTCTGACCATAGGTCTCTGGTTGGGACCCGGAAGGAAATGTGTATACAACAGAAATCTGCATTGATGCTATACCAAGCACGGCTCTCATGGCTTTTAATCTGAAGTGTTTGCAGGTATAAACATTGTATTTATTGGTGAATATCCTGTTCAGTACCCCACAGATTTGCTTGTGAGTTGCCTGACCATAACCGACTTGATTATGTTTCCTTCTAAATTGTCTCTTCTCATTTAGCTTCATGGTCGGGAGTAGTGAGGAAGCATCATTGGTCGAGTATCGAGAGCGTTGCTTTTTTAAGCGTGAAGGATGAGGCAGACAAGGCGATTGTTTCCTGTTTCCGCCATTTTGGCTTCTACTAATAAAAACAATTAAAGGGGCGCAACTCTCTAACTTTCAATAGCTCATGTTCAAATGAAAAAAATACTGTTCTCAAATTACAGTTCAATTATGTGCCATGCGTGATACACGCGTAGGCGATCATATATCTTTCGATACATGACTGACGAGGCATATTTTTCCCGCAGTAGGTTTATCTTTTTGCAGTAGACGAATTCAAGGCAATAGAACCCGGTCTGTCCTGCTATTTTACCCATAGCTGGGGGGAGAAGAAGAGGATTTATACATTTCCCAAGGGTATTTGCACGTAAGTGAATGTAATAGATCCGACTGGAATTCTCCAATTCTTCAAGTGGAGCCACTATCCATTACTCCACCGTACAGTGTTTCAAAATAAAATTATCCGTGTTTACAACTTAACTCCTAGAGCCCATAGACCAACATATCATAACATTTGGAAATCAGCTCGACTCCGGAAATTAAGAACATTTCAGACCGGATCCGGACCTGCAATCCTGAAATTTTGGATTCCCAAGGTTTCATTAATGCCATTCTTTTCGGCTATTTTTTTACGTGATTTTTTGACACGAATTTTTTTTTGAGCGATAACAATTTTTATAACTTGGAAGTAAATTTGGGAATAATCGAAATTAATTATGAAATCCAACGAAATTCACCCATGAAATAAAAATAATTGTTTATACGAAAAGTAAGGACCTACGTACATCAAATTTTCTTTAAATTAAGTGGCATCTGAAGAATTATCGTTGAACTTTTAAAAGGTATGCTTAAATATTAATGCAATTCTTAAATGCAGCGATTAATTTTGAGTTCTTTTGTAGTTTATTGTTGCCTATCGCATACAGCAGCAGTATGACTCGCAAAAAGAAATCTCCATTAACAGAGGACGAGATTGCAATCAAAAGAGCCAAGGCTGCAGATAGGAAAAGAAAAGTATTTTGGACGTCGTAGATTTGTACTCAGTACAAATCTACGAAGTATAAAATACTTATCGTGATAGTCAGGCTTCACTTTGTTGACACGCTGCTGTCAATAATGATAATAATAATAATAATAAAGAAGATGCTTTCTTATTGACATGGCACTCTATGCAGATTGTAATGCATCTTTGGAGTTCTTCAAAATATACTCTTGAAATCGAAATCTCAAGAATGTGGCACATGAAGACATGAAGACATGAAAACATCAACAACTCCAGTTGTAGTTGTGGCCATCAATCTGATTGGAAAATCCCCCAATAGACTCATCGAAGGGATTCCTGGTAGCCCATGCCTTAAAGAAATACAAAAAAATGTCCTCAAAATTACAGCTTGTTGTTCATAATGACGGTCTTCTTCGAGTATAGAATCCAGAGGTTAGCAGTGAATATTTCGAAGACAGTCGGAAAGCGTTGTTCAGGTTAGCAGTGGATATTTTGGTAAAAGTAGCAGAGCATAGTTCGTCCTTCTGGTTCTCTTCGTCTGACAAGCTGGACTGGACATTCGGGTAGAGTGAACAAAATCGCCGCCTTTATACACGACGGATTGAATATTCTACGTCTTCTGATTGGTTAATCTTCTATTGGTAGACTATAAAGTTAGTTAAGTCATCTGAGCTAACTCACTAGTACATATACACAAAAAACTGTAACACAGCTCACACATTATGAAGAGATTTATCTATGTAAAATGTGTGTGATTTTTTTTTTTTTACAGAAATGATCAGTGGAAAATGTCATGAAGCTAATTCTGATCTTAGGTTTCTGGTTGGGACCCGGACGGAAATGTGTATACAACAGAAATTAAAAGAAATAAAACATTTTATTACTGATAAGGGATTAAACAATTTTTCATTACAGAAAACCCGTCTGGCGCTGCCCTCATACGCTGATTTGGCCGTTGAAATCGTATAGATATTTGCCTATACCGCCGCCGGGGGTCTTCGGGGGTTGGTCGTGTTCAGTTAATCCGTGCTTTATAAACAGGGAAATTAATATCCACCGACCTAGAGTTCGAAAGTCTTAATAAAGAAAAATTGCTACCCGACTAGAATCGAACTTTTTAATATGAGAAATCATTAACATGCCAGGCGTCTTTTCCCATTTTGCTACGAGAAGTTATAACAGCAAAGTAAATATCAACTTTCTTACTTAAGAAACTAATAAATCACAAATATATATATATATATATATATATATATATATATATATATATATATATATATATTCTAAGCTTTTCACCCCAAGCAAGGCGGGAAGCCACTAGGACGCAAGGGGTTACAGAAGATTTGGAGCAAGATCAGATAGGAGTGATAGAAGAAAGGATGAGGAGAAGGATAGTGGATAGATCAAAGCAACTGGAGATGTCGATTGACATTACATTTGAATAGTTGGAGATTATAGCTCTCAGGGAAACTGTAATAGGGAAGGGAGTTCCTCAGGTGAGAGGTGCGAGACATGAAGCTATTGGAGTAGAAGAGACGGCTACATTTAATAGTTTCAACAGTGAAAGGGTGAGAGCGGGATGCCGGCCTCGTAGGGCGCTTGAATTCATGAAGTCTGGGAATCAGCGAATGGAGATCCTCGGAGCAATTACCATGAAAGTATTTGTAAAAAAGACAGAGAGAGGCGACGGTGCGTCTGTGAGAGAGCGACTGTAGACGAGATGCCAGAGCAGGGTCAATTATATTGCATATCCGCCTCTGGATCTTATCAAGAACCCCGAGGCAATCAGAAGGGGCTCCAGACCATATAAGGCAGCAATAGTCCATGCAAGGGCGAATTGTTGATTTGTAGATCTGGAGGATCGATTCCGGGGAGAAAAATTTCCTGGCGCGGCACAGGGAGCCAACTTTCCTTGCGGTGGACGAAGCAATTGACTCAATGTATTTATTCCATCTCAGGTCAGCAGTCAACGTGAGACCGAGCAGCCGCAGAGAGGTGCTCTCGAGAAGTTGAGCGTCAGACACTCTAATGGGGGCAGGGAAGGATCTCTGTGGTGATTAATAGAGAGCAGTTTTGTTTTTGAGGCATTAAAGTTGACAAGCCAAAAACAATGAAATCCAAAATCATCTCATATGGGGAATAGTCCATTTCGGCAGATGAAGATAGCGGTCGTCTGTCTTATCAACCCCGGTGTGGATTGAGTTCTTGTCAGAAATAGAAATTTTACTGTGAAAGCTAAAAAAAAAAAGAAAAAAAAAGACTAATGCAGAATTTATCAATTTAAATGTTTCAGTCAGACGAATGGCACAAGGCAGAACTCAGAGGAGGGTGATGGTATATTTGTCTTAAAAGGAAGAAGTTTTATAAATTAAAACCCGAATATTGACTTTATGACATTAATTTGGGGTTATATGAAGAATTAAATATTAATTTAAAATTAAAAGACGAATAAAAAGGAGTTTAAAAATAACTTTAAAGTATATAAATAAAAGGATCTAAGGGATTAATGGAAAAAGAGTTGTGGAGATCATCCAGTAGGGGGAAGTTTATGGATTATAATTAATATAGGTAAAGCGGTTATAGAAGGGAGGAAATTAGAATTAGTTATATATTAGACATTTGAAGAATTATAGGGGAGTGAATATTATGGAAGTATAGTTAAACCAATATTATGAAAATTTAAATTTGTTTTTATGGCGACATTTTAGAACTAATTCATTCCTGGGATTAAATAGTCGATTTTGATTATTGTATTTTATTTTTCTGGTTTATTTTTCTAAACATAAGTCACACTTATCTCTGAGACTATTAGGAGTACGCGCGGAACGTATAATTTTCCAAATTATCTGTAGGCACAAACCTGTCTCATTTAATTGCCAAAATTTCATTGAAAGAGCTGTCTGCTATTTTAGTTTAGGGTTAGAAAATGAGTGCCTGTAATAATAAAGACATTGAGCTCTTTTATGGATCAGTTTAAATATTTTATATTACTAGGATCCACTTGGATTATATATCAACGCATTTTTTACCTTTACTATATAAAAGAGAAGCGTAAGGGACAACACCATCAACCAATCTCTGTAGACTTAAACCAACTTGGTCATAGCATCGACGACGTCGGTTGCGTGCTATTAGCTTTTGGGTTCCTTAGCCGGAGGATCGACGCAGAACGTATAACTCTCTTCATCTGTTTACAATCTCACACTCCCACTCCCCCTACTACTAAAAATAGACCGGCCTAACGCTTTTACATCGATCAAAATTTTAAATTTAAATTCATTTTCATAAAAAGTTTTGCACAGCGAAGAATCAGACAGAGATCGGGTTTTTGTTAATAACATGATCTCCACCAGAAATACACCGTCCACAAAAACATCTGTCGGTGAGTAATTCCTATTTCTCTGTTTATTTCTCGCTCCTTTGACAAAGGACAGAGTCGCGTCCGAAAATTCCGGACTTAAACCCTTTCGTTTGTCCTTGTTTTATTAACATACCTATCTATTTTACATAAAAGAAGCACACTTTCTTCTAATCTATCTATCTATCTATCTATCTATCTATCTCAGTCTGCCCATAACTCTCAGAGTTTGGGCTGCTATACTCTCTGGCGTTGTGTCGACTATTAATTACCTTCCTGGAAATGTAGATTAGAACGTGACTCTCTTGTCATTCTCATAGCTGTTAAATTTGGGGAAATTTCTTAAATAATTTCTAAAGTTCTAGCTCTCAGCTGAGCAGGCGTATATTTCTGCCTCCCCAAACGATGTTTGGGTCACAATTAAAAACGAGACGCATGTCCTATGACAAAGTTTTATCCGTGGCATATTCAGGTAATGGTTTGTGGAACATTAAATAAAAGGTCTACATTTCTGATGAGAGGCTCTGATATGGTGATTACATCTACGCTAGGCCTGCTGAGCAGATAATTTCAGTATGTCTGTTGATTCGTTCAATCATCTTATTCTTTAATGTTTTCTTTTTTATGTTCATTATTTTGATTTCGTTCTCTCGGAAGTCGGTCAATTTCTTCTCCTTCCATACTTGATTAGAAAGCTCCCGTATGGAAGACAGCATTACATTGTACGTGAAGGTTGTTTTTTAGGAGGTAGTTGGACTCATATCTATCTATCTATCTATCTTAGACTGTGCATTATCTATCTATCTATCTATCTATCTATCTATCTATCTATCTATCTATCTTAGCCTGTCCATTATCTATCTATCTATCTATCTATCTATCTAAGATTGTTCATTATCTATCTATCTATCTATCTTAGCCTGCCCATTATCTATCTATCTATCTATCTATCTATCTATCTATCTATCTATCTATCTAAGACTGTTCATTATCTATCTATCTATCTATCTATCTATCTATCTATCTTAGCCTGTGCATTATCTATCTATCTATCTATCTATCTATCTATCTATCTATCTTAGCCTGTGCATTATTATCTATCTATCTATCTATCTATCTATCTATCTATCTATCTATCTATCTTAGCCTGTGCACTATCTTAGCCTGTCCATTATCTATCTATCTATCTATCTATCTATCTATCTATCTATCTATCTATCTATCTATCTATATGTCAGTTTGGTTAGAGACAAGGTTCGTCATCGTACATCATTTCGGATCCAATCATTATTATCAAATGGAGAAAACCAAATTGCATAAAACTCTCAGATACTGAGGGATTAAAGTCTCAATAAGATGAAGACTGCCATCTGGTGTCGGATGAACATTCAAGCTGCTCAGATTATGCAGTCAAATCCATTGGTGACTGGGATTGGGATTCTATGGATTAGAATCAGTTGAATGGTTGTCGGAGTCGGAGATTCTCGGAAGAGACACTCTAATCTCCAAAGCCCATCGACTTTGCGTCGGTAGAAATAGAAGCAGTCAATATGGCTGCCTGCCTGAACAAGTTGACTCCTTCTGATCGCATAACTAGAACAGACACACACACACACACACGCACACGTGCATATATATATATATATATATATATATATATATATATATATATATATATATATATATATATATATATAAGCTTGTGTAGGCAGATAGGCACACACGAATATGTATGTAAAGCACACACATAGGCGCGAAAAGACACATATAGATATCTATGTGTGTTATGTTTATATACTAGGTGGTGCTGAAATGTTCTCGGCCGAAAAGCGATTTAAATAAAGAAACAACATTTGATCAGATGTTGTTGGGAAGTGGTGTGGCTCGAGAAACTATTAGCATTCTCTCGTATATATAATGAAGTTCAGTTGGCAATTAAATTTCGAGAGCTTTCTCTCTTTCTCTCACTCGTCTTTCTTTCTTTCTTTCTTTCTTTCTTTCTCTCTTTCTTTCTTTCTTATCTATCTATCTATCTAACACTGTTCATTATCTATCTATCTATCTGTGTGTGTATACTGTTCTGTGTGTATGCTTTAATTGAATCATTATAAGGAGTGAAACTAAAAAAAATGGACTGAATGTAGAATATCAGTGTTTATATTATGAAATTATATATATATATATATATATATATATATATATATATATATATATATATATATATATATATATATATATATATATATATATATATATATATATATATATATATATATATATATAAATATAAATATATATATATATATATATTATTTATACATTCCGAGACACACATACACATAGATAAATACATTGATAGATGAACTTAGATTAGTAGAGATCAACTGAAGACTATATATATAGTAGACTCTCCCGTCGAGATTCGACGTATGAGGGTCAAGCAGATCAGTTCCAAGGAAACCGACAGCCCAACACCGGCACATGAGATTTGATTATAATGGTGAAGGTTTCGTGCAGGACCATCCACACTTTTTGAAGGGACGAATACAGAGGCTTGGTGCACCAAATGCCACAAGGTTCCCAAATATATATATGTATATTTATTCGTTGTGACAGTTTCAAGTACGCGGATTAATTTCTTGGTAGGTCTGGAAAATTGATAAGAAAAAGTATCAATTTTTTTCAAATAGTTACCCAAGAATTTACAGAAACATATCACAGACAACGTAACCCCCTGAAGATGATCTCAGTTGAGATTGAAAAACTTGGGAAAATAAATGTATATATAAATAGAGAGAAAGAACAGTAAGAGATAAAATCCGGTGTTCTTATTGATATTTTTTATTTTTATTTTTACAAAACAGTGTTCAATGTAAATTTACAGAGTATAAATATTATAAATTAACTGATTTAACTTTTGTTGTATTTTTATAAACTTTTGTTTTTAATAAAAATGAACACGCTACCACCCTTTGTCTGAATGATTGGATTTCTCTGTATCCTTGGAAACAGTGAATTACGAATTTTTGTGTGCGTTTAAAACTCAGTAAATTTTAAAAAATAAGTTACTCCAATATTCGCTTGAAGATGAAATGGAACTAATGTTTTTAATTTAATTACAAAAATAAATTTGAAGTTTTTAGCTTCCATTTTTGAAACATGGTTTTTACTGTGTAGCGAAAAAACATATTTTAAACCAGTTAATTTATAATATATATATATATATATGTGTGTGTGCGTGTGTGTGTGCATTTCAGTGAATGTGACGTGACGAAATCTTGTAATATTTTAATCAGTTTATTAAAAGAAAAGCCATGAGAACATTGGTGAAAATGAATACAAATTTAAAATCTTTTCCATATCCGTCACATTCAAATAAATATGTATTAAAGAAGGATTGCTGTTCACACACACACATATTTTTTTCAATATTGGTTTCTCAAAAATTATATAAATCTCTTGTGTCATTATCTTCAATTATTGTTTAGAGATAAAGTCTCCGTAGAACAACAATAGACAAATCCTCACGCTGTCGACAGTCAAAAAGATCTACTGTCGGGTTAAAAATGCATTTCTGCGATATGTAAAACTTCAAATAAATCTTAATAGTATAAATAAATTTTAATAATATTTTTTCAAATCAGATTAATTATAATTTAAATCTGCTAATATCACTTAAATAGTTTCAGAAAAGTTTATTATATTTTTGTAAGATTTTTTTAAATTGTTATAGTCGAACACACCTATTTTATAGTTAATAGACTCTCCCACCTATAATAAGTAGGAGTAGTAAGAGTAACGAGGGGGTCGCTCAGTGGGTCAGTGAGTTAGTCGATGCCGTACGACAGTTAGTCGAATACGAAAGTATCAGCGACCACAACTAGATTACTCTGCGTTATATCTATTATATCAAGTTCCTAACGTTTTGTACGTCGAACCCATTTTAGGACCGACTTAGTACAACTACAAGCCTTCACTGTGAAACTACTCCATAACATTAATAAAGAGAATTCCATTGAGTTGAAAGACTTTTAAAAAAGGGCGCTTATCAAGTATTTTAGCAAAAATTAAATAAATAAATAAATAAAATAAAAGTTAAAACTTTTTAAGTCAATTTAAATTAGTCTTTGAAATACAGCAAAGTACTCCGATCATTATAAATATTAAATTTAAGCTTGAAATTAAAAGTAAAACAAACGCTACATTTTTAAATATAAAATTCACTTCACTTTATATCTTAAAAATCGGTATCACTTATATATATATATATATTATATATATAGGTTCCTACTTGAAACTATATTTTATCATATATATATTTTGAAGAGCTGAATACAGAGACCTGGCACAACACACACACACACACACACACACACACACACACACACACACACACACACACATATATATATATATATATATATATATAGATATAGATATAGATAGATAGATAGATAGACAGATAGATATATATCAGATAGATAATATCAGTCAATATATATATATATATATATATATATATATATATATATATATATGTAACCTAAGAGAGTCCTTTCTGACGCTAACCTCCAGGAAATGACTTACTCATTATGATCGAAAGCATCCTCTAGGGAGTCGGTTCCACAAGATACTGTTCTTAGGAAGGAGCTATTCGAGGGGAGCTTACATTTACATCTCACCAGTAGAAAACGAAGGGAATGAAGGTGATTCGTTAAAATGGGAGTGACTGGGTGGGTCTTAGCTTTAAAGTTTAGAACTGGTGCTACGAAAGGGCGTGGAAATGGAAATGGCGATAAAGAAGAGAGAGTCTGTGAAGAGATTGTAGGGTGGAAAATAATTCATCACCCACAAGGACGTGGAGATGCTTTTAGATTTTATCGACACTGGAAAGTGAAAACTGGGCTGCAGGTATGCTAGCAGGACACCATTTTTGGTCCGATTTGGCTCTTGTTATAGTAGAGAATAGTAGGAGGAGTCGGGTACTTACTGGAGAGGTACCGGGAGGTACCGGGAACCAACAGTATGTACGGGTTTCACTTGAGGTCTTGGGAGAGCTTAAGCCCTACACGAAAATTCAGGTGATGGTAGAACATCGTTTGTTTGTTTTTTTAAGCACCGAATATGACCAGCCAGCTTTTAGAGTTTCTTTTACAGTCTTCCATCTTTTATTACCTTCATCTGGTCCAAGGCCTTAAGTGTGAGCGCCCAGTACGGATCCAACTCATTAGAGTAGTAATAATATTTTAAACATTCAAGCGACCTTGTGTAACGCACGCACACACAACACACTGTTTAAGAGACACATCTATGTTAATTTGCTGGTGTTAGCACGATACTTAAAGGTACCACCTAGGGCACCCCGAGGCGGTACAATGGTTAGCAATCTTGTCTCGCTAGCACATTTACGAATGAGTAGTGAGTTCGATCCTCACTGGGTGCCCCATACTGTCGGCCTTGTGCCACATCTAAGCTACGCTTGGAAAATCGGTACTTAAAGGTACCACCTTTATTGTACATCAAGGTACACTACGCTAAGTAGATATTTACTAGTACCTCTACAGTAGGGTTGTGTTTAGAAAACGTCATGCGAATGCTGCCTGTTGGTTTTAGCGATTACCTAGTCAACTGGCGCTACAGAATCCCAAAGAAGGAACAGTACCAAGTTACAGAAACCACATCACTTGAAGACATTCAACAACAGCATGAACGAAAATAGATCGCATGTGTCACACGAAGAGAAAACAATGGCATAATCAAGATGTTGATATTCCACATTACTTCAAACAAAAAGTTAGGAAGGAAACCCCACATCAGTGCTGGAAAGAATGATAACAATTACTCCGCTTGAGAAACTTATTTTCTTGAAAAATTGTCTTAATACAAAGATTTCATGAAGTTCAACCTACAGTAACACTAGGGTCAGTGATTGCTGAATACCCCCCCTGTACATCCTCAAATGAAGGTTTGAAGACGGATGATCCTAACTAAACTGACAGAATAAATGTACTGGCTAAAACACGGACTCTACCATTGGACGTACATATCCACGAGAAGAAAATCGAGCTCGTCGTGGGATGTGAGTCCCTTCAAGACTGGACGATCATGTCTCTCCACAACATCCAGTCCATTGTGGCTCTTAGCATTTTCTTATTTATGCTGTTTCTCCTAATCTCGCGTGCGACCAGGGAAGTTAAGTACCGTCGGGCCTGGTCAGTGTGTAGATGGGTGACTGCTTGGGGAATACCAGGTGATGTAAGCTTGGATGTGCGGGTGGTGTAGGAGTGTTAATCGGAGAGCCGAGTTCCAATTCCAATTGGGTTCGTTATATTCACTTACGCTCATATACCCTTGGGAAAGATATGAATACACATATTTCCCCTACAGCTATGGGTTAATTATTAAGACTTGTATCATTAAATCATTATTATCTCCAAAAATTATCTCAGGCTTTAAATAATCTGCAAAGGGTTGATAAGCTGTTACAAACGAATGAATCAATCATTAAACATAATAAGCCCTAATCTTCTAACCGTTTATACAAGTTCACTGTCCAATTTGACGTCAACATGTCCTGTTAAATTTTCCAAGCTTCTTCCCTCATTATGTACCCTAGGAATTTCAAAGGTCTCCTTTCGAATGGTATGTGCCTATTTTTTTTGTTTTTTGCTTCAAACTTCACATGTTCAGTTCATGGTTTTCTCAGTGGCATTCTGTAGAACCAATTTTCTGTTGCTTCAAGTCGCTTCTTCATCTGCGAGGAAATTGTCCAGAATTCTCTGCCATATAGGAGGAATTACATTACGTAACAGTTCAGTACACTATTATTTGTTTCTGTTGCTGCAAGCGTTCTCTTCATCTGTGAGGCGATTGTCCAGCATTCACTGTCATATAGGAGGACTGATATTACGTAATAGTTCAGTACTCTTTTATTTGTTTCTCTTAATTCAAGTCCCTTCATCTGTGAGAAGATTGTCCTGCATTCACTGCCATATAGGAGGACTGATATTACGTAACAGTTCAGTACACTTTTCTTTGTTTCTGTTGCTTCAAGTCTCTTTTTAATCTGTGAGAAGGTTATCCAGCATTCACAGCCATATAACAGGAATGGTATTACATAACAATTCAGTAATCTTTTCTTTGTATCTGTCTATATTTCTGAGATGAGGTATTATGTGCACTATTTACATTATTCGGACTATTGTCCTCGTCTTTGTCTCCGTATTTATTACAACGTTTCGGCCGTTGTACGCTCCGGCCTTCTTTAGGTGTTTGGAATGTCGAACTCAAACCTTTATTTCGCTCACTGTGGTTGATTGTTCTAGCTCCACGTGCCATGTTTAAGGACACATTGCACAGTGGCCAAAGGCGTTAATTAGATCCAGTGACAGGACACAAAGAGTATGAGTTCAATACCCGGTTAAGGCAGTGGAGAACTTTCAGAGGGAAATTAACAGGTGATAACTGATAATTGACATCCATTAAACATGGCACCTGGAACTAGAACAGTCTAACCCAGTGAGAGAAATAAAGGGTTCAGTTTGACATTCCAAACACCTGAAGAAGGCTGGAGCGTACAACGGCCGAAACGTTGTAATAAATATGGCGATAAACATGAAGACAATAGTCCGAATAATGTAAAAAATGTTTTTATAGAATTATTTTTATATGTCGATTTACTTTACTAAAAAATAATTTTCTTTACGATTTATTTTATTAAAAAAAAAACAAAAAAAACTGGTTCATATTTTACATTTCTTCAAATTTCTTAACCCTAGAACATTAACCATCAATTAAAGTTACACCACTACTAACCATGGGTATATCATATTGAAAATATGAATTAACAGGAGATAACTGATAACTGACATCCATTAAACATGGCACGTGGAACTAGAACAGTCTACCCCAGTGAGCGAAATAAAGGGTTCAGTTCGTTTTTTTTTTTTTTTGTTTCTGTTACTTCAAGTCTCTTCTTCATGTGTGGGGAGATTGTTCAACATTCACTGCCATATAAGAAGACTGATATTACGTAACAATTTAGTACTCTTTTCTTTGTTTCTAGCGAAATTTTCCTGTTTCTTAATACTTTGCTTAGCTTTTGGAAGGCATCTGTTACTATTTCAATGCCCCTTCGGTGCTGCATTTTCCGTTCAGTTGTTAAAAATTCGACTTCCCTTTCATCAGATAATATCGAATATAGGCCCGCGTTTTGTTAAATCTCCATACAAACTCTTAAGTAAAATATTTTCTATGAGGAATTGGCATCCGCTGTATAAGCAGGCATCAAAGGGTCTGGTTAAATTACAGAAACGTTCAAATTTGGCAGAAGTGAGAGTCACTTCGGGTTTTGCTAAATCCTTCTTGGAATCACAACCCACTATCACCAGCCACCCTCCAACCCCTGTAACTGAAGATTTCTTTATCCTTGTGTGAAATACAGCAACATGGGTTAACTTGAAGTGCATGCCGTTGTGTAAATATTTAATTCTTTTTAAGAAAAAGAAAGAAGGTAATGCTTAGAGGAACAAGAAACGTAAAGAAGAAAACTAACTAATGAGGAAGTGATTTTATTGATTCATTTTTACGGTTTATCAACCTTTTGCAGGTTATTTAAATCCAGGAAATACTTTTAGATGATATGTATTTGATGGTTGGGAGGGGGTAGATAAAAATAGTTTAGTGGTACAAGTCTTAATACTTATCCCATATCTGTGGGCGGTCTCATTTGATGACTTATGCTGCATTTTTAAATTTGTGAAGATTGTAGTTGACAAGAATCTGCAATAGAGTTCCACAGGCGAGAATTGGGAAAGAAGAAACTCTTAAAATAGAACTTACGGTTACACTTTGCAATTTCAACACACTTGTTTCAGAACACAGATTTCTTTAAGAAATTTTCGGATATTATACAGATTAATGTCAGGAAAGTGTTCTTTTATGTTGATTGGTTGATTTAATTTAGCAACATATCAACACCTCTATGGGTCATTTACTGCCGAAATCTAAATATTTTGAACGCGATCGTATGCCCTTAACTACAGATAAAATGTGCTATTGGTAATTTTACTATGATTAGGTGTGTTGGTAATAATTGGTGCTGATAGTAATTTTCTATCCATAGGTGCTGTTGGTAATTTTACTATCAATAAAGATGTTGGTAATTTTTTTTTTATATAAAGATGCATTACTTTTATTTTTACTATAAAAATGTGTTTACATACTTTCATAGTGTCTTGTCTTTGTTTGGGGAGCGGGGGTTATTATTAGCTCCTAACAGGGACCCTGCCAGGTTCTACCACTCCGGGTCAATGTGGACCTGGGAACAACAGAAATAAAGAAGTGCTTCCACTCTCGTCAAAATCTCCAATCTCCTGATTAGAGGCCTTGTTGCTGGATGTAGTTTATCGATTGGGAACTGTCCCCTCCTACTCACCGAAGGGAGTGTGCGGGATTTCAGAGTATGATTAAAAATGAGGAATTACATAATTATCAAATATTAAAATTATAATTAATGAATATTATTAATTATTTAATATTTTATTGGGCATTTTTTTGTTATCAGATTCCTTAACCGTGCTTCAAGACGAGAAATCTTCATCTACGATGAGCTGTCTTGCGAGGAAATGTAAATATAGATAACTCGTGCAATAGCATAGAATGGAAATGATCAGAACGTTGCGAGATGAACACTTAATAGGAGTAAATAGGTTCGCCTATAGCGCGGTACACACTCGACCCCAGTTTTTTGAACAGGAGTAGAGGTTTATCCTTTGTTTCATTGTTTAGGGTTGTTTTTTTTCGGTTTCTTCTAGAGCCTTTTTTCATTCTCTTTTACTCCCAATATGCTCGTCCGTCTCAGCGGCATTATTGCCTTGCTTGGGTTGAACTGACTTTTAAGGAAGCGCGAAAAACGAAGTGAAAGTGAAAGTGAAAGTGAAAGAGGAAGAAAGAGAGAGAGAGAGAGAGATTGAGAAACCGGGGAAACAAACAGACTGAGAAATAGAAAGGCCTCCACCAGGGGATGAATCAGGCGGCGATGATTACTTCGGAGCTGAAATCTCATTATCCATAGCACAAGACATGGAAATATTTATTTATTTTATTACGGTCTTCTCTGATTTTTCCTTTTGTCTTCTGATTTTCTTTCTTTGCTTATTCCAATCCATTTCAGGAATTTTCCTTCGCTATATCCTTGTGCATCTTTCGTTTTCTTTCTTTCCACCTTCTCACACATCAGTTCCAATTCGCGACACAATCACCCTCACTGCCTCCAGTATATTCTTAACTCCATCCATTTCGAATTGACCATTTTTCTTCTAATTCTTCACTCTCTTTCGATTACACGTCTTCGTATTGCGGCCCCAACAACGACACGATGGCATCTTGTTGTATTAGCCAAGTGCAACGAAATCTTTCGGTAAACAAAGCTAAATCTTCGTGAGAACGCACATGATGCCAACCCCCCCCATTTTGAGTATATGAGTCAATGTCAATAGAGATAACTCGTACAACAGCATATTGGGTAGAACCAAACAGTGTTGTGAGTTGGGCACTTTTACGGAACGTGGAAGAACGAAATTGGAGAAAGAGAAAGAGAGAGAGAGAGAGAGAGAGAGAACTGAAAGAGTGTGAGAGAGAGAGAGTGTGTGAGTGAGAGAGAGAGTGAGAGTGAGTGAGATTGAGATAGTGAGAGTGTGAGAGAGAAAGACAGTGAGATTGAGAGAGAGAATGAGTGAGAGTAAGAGAGAGTGAGAGTGAAGGAGAGAGTGAGTGAGAGACAGAGTGAGAGCGAGATAGTGAGAATATGAGAGAGAAAGTCAGTGGGATTGAGAGAGAGAATGAGTGAGATTAAGAGAGAGTGAGAGTGAAGGAGAGTGAGTGAGTGAGAGTGAGAGTAAGGGAGTGAGTGGGAGAGAGAGTGAGAGAGTGTGAGTGAGAAAGAGAATGAGAGAGAGAAAGTGAGAGAGTGAGAGTGAGAGAGAGTGTGAAAGAGAGTGTGAGAGAGAGAGAGTGAGAGAGATTGAGAGAAAGAATGACTGAGAGTAAGAGAGAGTGAGAGTGAGAGACAGAGAAAGAAGTCGATAAAAAGCAAATTGGTTTTTAGAGCAGTGTGTAAGTGTGGATAATATTAATGGTAATATCCATTTCGCGTTGGGATCATGGTGTAGTATCTGTTCTCATCTCTAACGATTTTGGTAATATTAACCGTTTCTTTGTTTCTGGAGACCTTATTAGAGATACAAAATGTGATTAAAATAAAAACGGACATCATTAAAAGAAGTAAAAACAGAAAATCAAAACAAATCTACGGTAGTTGGCAATATGAAAATAGTAGCTAGAAAAAAAGGAGAGAAAAAAAAGAATGAGCTAACCGGTTATCGCTCCTCACTCGCCTGAACTCGATCGAAGAAAGTTAAATTATTGTGCAAACCGGGAAATACAAGAAAACATTCGGTATTCATTAACCGAGAAACCAATGCTATCGTCGGTTAAAATTTATAAAGTTGTTCAGTTAAAATATTTTTTCAAGAAAATAGATTTCTCAAGTCCAGTAACTGTTATTACTCTTTCCTGTTTTGATGGGGGTTTCCTTCCTAACCTTTTGTTTGAAGGAGTGTGGAAAGTCAACATTCGTCCTCATTCGAATTCAGAACAGTACCATTGATAACTCTCTTCTCCAATTTGCAGACTCCAGTTACTATATTCTTAATACTTGATAAAATCGGTCAATAATTATTTATAACTGTTTATACTGGGGCACATGCATTCTATTACAATTAATCCATAATATTATTTTAAATGTTGAAAGCATATTTATTTTTGGCATATGAATTTCTTGAAGCGGTTTCTAAATCTTTGATTGTCTTTCAATCATTCCTCCTGTATGGTTGCTCATATCCTTTTAATATATTAATATATATATATATATATATATATATATATATATATATATATATATATATATCATAAGTATTGAGTCTAGAAGAAACTTCAACAGAATGCAGAAAGCACTGGACGGAATTTGTCATCGAGCGGCGCTATATCGAGTCTAAATCGTTACCTCTTCGTCACCGAGAACCGTTGGTATGGCGTTTGCCTCCTATCGTAACTGTTCGGGTTTCAATTCTCGGTAGTGGATGCGCACTGCTGATGAGTCCCAAATATAGGACGAAACGGCCGTCCAGTGCTTTCTGCATTCTGTTGAGGTTTCTTCTAAATTCGATGAATTACTTAATTATGATTATTTCAAATCCTCCTAATTATTTCTCTCTCTCTCTCTCTCTCTATATATATATATATATATATATACGATATTAAAAATATTTAAAAAAAAAATTAAACATTTAATTCACTATCTAACGTTAACTGTAAAATTTAAGAAAAAAATTAAATATGTATAAAGATGGGTGCGTGTGGAAATATGTATATGTATATGTAAATATTTGTGTATGTATGTATCTGTATACCGATGTGTATCGATAGATGTGTATGTGATTATATATGTAATTGTACATGTATACGAATATATGTGTATGTGTATTTACGTAAATCTTTTATTATTACCTTCAAATCTTTATTAGACTTATTTTCATATTTGTTTATTAATACAATATTCAGGTTATATTAAATCCCTAATTTATTTGTGATGAAATTAAATATTTAAATTACTATCAAGGATTAAATTTAGTTTATTTGTGGAGTATTTAAACATTTAAATTACTATCAAACGTTAAAATCTGTGTTTTTCTAAATTGGCCAAACATCTAGCTATACCACCCCTCTCCTTCCTTCAAAACCTTACATCCATTTTTATTTCTTATCTCTTTACTTCACCCCTTTTTTCTTTTTCCTTTTTTTTTTCCCATATCATTTGCGGTGAGTTGACCGATTAAATAGGTCATTGTCTGATCCTTACCCCCTCCTCCTCAATATTAAGTATTGTAATAAAATAAATTTTAAAGCTCTCCCTTCCCTCTCTAATTTCGACCATGTCTCTCCCACTATCCCTCACCACCCTCTATGTCACCTTATATAAGCTTAATACTGCCCTTCAAAAGTATAAATTTTAAATTTATTTTTTCACCCTTGAAACTTAAGTCTGAAGATCCAAAGAAAAATAAAATCTCTGGTGAAATAAATTATAACAATGGAACATTAAAGTGATCTGTTTTTTCTTAAATTAATTAAATTTAAACAGCGCATTACATTTTATTTTTCATTAAAAATATTAAGAATTAAAAAATATCAAGCAATTTCGCATTAATAATGACTTCCCAAACCAAATTGTAGATGAATAATTAAGACGATTTAAAAAAAAAACTCAGTATACGTCAAGTAGAACATGGTACTTTCTCAAAGGACCTTAAATATATTGTAACCAGATGCATGCTATCTACAAACAAGATGAGAAAATCATAAAAACACGTCATTCGTACCAATAGATCTCCTATGGACACCCCCTCAAATAAAATTAATCATATATTGTACAAAATACAATATAACCAATTTAATTATTCTCCTCCCCAACAACTGATGTATTACGTAAAACCAAAATTATATATCAATTCAAATACCCCTTGGGAGAATGCATCTCTGACATAAAAAAAAAACAAATATATATCTTGTATATACGACAACTACATTATCAAGACGTCTTACTCTCCAAATGTCTGACCATTCGTCAAATGCGAGACAGTTACACAAACATTCCTGTCCACACTCACAGTAAAGAAAACTACTGATTGATAACGCAACTATCCTACACCAAGAAAATAACAAATTAAAACTACAGATCCTCGAGGTAATCTTCATTAAAAAAAATTGAAGACGACACTGAATAAAATCAGCTACGAATACTATAATAATGTTCTAAAATGCCTATAAAAAGAACAGTTTTCACACTTTAATGGCGTGCTTGACCATGACATTCCAACAAATAAGAAAAAATGCATAACGAATGACTTTTCACGTTTAATGAACACTTAAGCATAACCGTCAGTCGTTGCATTTAAACGCAAAAGAACAAATTCAGTAATTCAGTAATTCATAGTTTTTGCCTTACCAGTTGCACCCCTGATGATGATCTTAAAAAGAGACAGAAAGTACTTGGCTGAGAAAAGTGATTATCACTGTTACAGTGCATTTCTTACCTTATTCAGTTGTAATATACAGAAAAATATTCGTGAATATGAAAGGATTATGAGAAAAATAACCAGACATAATGTTTGTAACTTATTCAATCAGATATGCCCCCCCCCAAAGAATTTGCTGCCTAAAAATACACATATATATAAGGCCTGGCTATTGTTTTACAAAATACAACCGTCTGTTGGGGCAGGAAGGTAATCCCTGTTGCAGACGCCTGTTAAAGCAAATTTGTGTTTCTTCAAAACCACTAGAGACAACCTTTTTTATATAATACGGAGAAATAAACTCTCTCTTTAACTTTACCTATGAACTTATTCCCAAATATAAGCCCCCATCCTTAGACGTTCTCGTAGAATACAGTAATAACACTTCATTATACGAAAAGTCCACTAGCAAAAACTGTCATCACCTTAATTTTAAGAGTGAATGATCACTTAGATATAAATTAGCAGATTTTTTTAAAGGCAATTCATCCCCAAGCAATGCAGGAGTGTCACTAGCACGCAAGGGGTTACAGAGGATTGGGAACAAGAGTAAAGAGGCGTGTTTGAGGAAAGAATACAGAGAAGGACGGGGAACAAGCTCAGGGTGTCAGATGCCGATTGACATTACATTTGAATATTTGAAGATTATAATCATCGAGGAAGTAATTAATAGGAAAGGAGTTCTACAGTCGGGAAGTGTGGGAGAAGAAGCTGTTTGAGAAGAAGAGTCGGTTACATTTAACCGTTTTGACAGTGAAAGGGTGGGACCGAGATGCCAGTCTGGCAGCTCGCTTAAATTCGTGCAGTCCGGGAACCAGCGAAAGTATCTCGTCGGAAGAGTTGCCGTGAAAATATTTGTAGAAGAGACAGGAGGAGGCCAGGGCACGTCTGTGGAATAGAGATGGTAGATGCCAGATCAGTGCCTATCATCTTGCATATACGCTGGCGCTCTCAAGGAGTTGGGAATCAGTCATTCTTATGGGAGGCAAGAAGGGTTCTATGTGGTGTGTAAAGGAGAGCAGTTTCGTTTTGGAGGTATTAAAATTTCCATCAACCACAGATTAGAGGTCATTTTCGAGATCAGCAGCCAGGTTAGTTTTATCAGCGATACCAGATTTACTATTGAGGCAGGAGTAAATAGTGGTGTCGTCCCTCCGCGTAGATGCCAACTTG